AGTCCGGGTGGAATCTGGTTAAAAGAGAGCTTAGATCACGAGCATACATCACTAAGGCATATGTGAATGAGGGATGTTATCAATATATTATCATTAATCGTCTAACAATAAGTTTCATCAAGCTTGTCATCAATGCTGAAGACCATGATTTTTCCCCATCTAGTTACCGATGGGCAGGTCGCTCAAAGGCTCACCCTTGGACCAGTGGTTGATCCAGTTGAAGATCTCAGTGTGCCAGAACAAGCTGTTCTCCTGCTTGAGCACCCAGTGGTTCTCATCGGGGAAGTTGAGGAACCTGGAGGGAATACCGCGGGCCTGGAGGATGTTGAACAAGCTCAGACCGTCGCTCTCGGGCAGACGGTAGTCAAGGGTGTTGTGGATGACGAACTGGGGAGTGGACCAGTTGGCAATGTGGTTCTGGGGGTTCCACTCGCGGTACGCGTTGGAGTCCCAGATGCTGCCGTTGTAGTCGTGGCGGATGAACCAGAGTTCCTCAGATGCCCATGCACCCTCGGTGTTGGAGATACCGTCGTGGGTGACGAGGCACTTGAACTCGTTGCCGAGGTCGTTGGCCTGGATCCAGTTGGTCATGTAACCACCGTAGGAAGCACCGGCGGCGATACCGTTCTTGGTGTCGATCCATGGCATGCTGCTGTTGACGTAGTTCCAGGCGTTGACCAAGTCGTGGTATGGCCAGCTACCCCACTGGCCCTGGATGGAGTCGGTGAGGAACTGTCCGAAACCGGTGGAACCGGTTGGGTTGGGGGCGACAATGATGTAGCCTTGATCAGCCCATACCTGAGGGTTCCAGCGGTTGGACCAGCTGTTGCCCCAGTTACCCTGAGGACCACCGTGGATGTAGAAAGCGAGCGGGTAGGTGACATTCTCCTGCCAGAAAGTAGGCTTGACAACGTAGGCCTGGAGTTGCTGCTTGAGCTCAGGGTTGGAACCGTTGAAGAAGATCTCAGAAACGGTGTGGGATCCGAGACCAGCGAGGTTGGGGTCGACCTGAGACGCATCGAAGAGAGTCTTCTTCTCTCCGTCCGCGAGGATGTACCACTCGCTGGGAGTCCAGATGGCGGTAGCAGCGACGAACAGCGAACCATCAGGAAGGAGGGCGAAAGCCGAGACGGATGTGTTCGAGGTCATAGGCTCGGGGACGAAGCTCTCGTCGGCATCGACAGGGAAGTTGAAGATCTTGACGCGAGCATAGTCATCAGCAGTGACGTAGATGGAGGAGTCGTCGTGAGCCCAGGTGATGGGTCCCTGAACCCAGCGGTCAAAGCCGGCGCTCAGAGCCTTCCAGTTGCTGACAGCAACACCGGTACCCTGAACTGCGACGTCGACAGTGTAGAGTTGCCACCTGTCCGACTCATAGTAGTCCTCATCCTGCTGCACGTAGGCGAGCTTGCAGCTGTCGGTGGAGAAGGAAGGGAGGCCAGAGGCACCCTTGTGACCAGCCTCCGCCGCAAGAGAGTCTGGGCCGTTGAAGGCGATGGGTGCATCGGAAGACGCGAAAGCACCAACATAAGTGTATGATGCGGTGTAGTTGGCCTTGTTGAGTTGAGGGGCCTTGGTCACGAAAGCGTACATGGAACCATCAGGGCTGATGTCGTAGTCGCTGGAGTCACCAAACGGCTGGATGGGAGTCTCAGGCGCGGTGGTGGTGAAGTTAATGCCCTTCTGGATGTTGCGCATTCCAGCGCCGGACAGCGCATAGCTGTTGTTCGCCGAGAGAGCTCCGGCGAAGAGGTTGTAGCGGTTCTTGGTCAGCCAAGTGTCCCAGTGGCGGACATAGTTGTCCGAGTAGTAGCGGGCAGTAGTCACTGGGGTAACTTCGGTCTCGGGGTTGACGGCAGTACCATTGGGGTAAGCCATGCAGTTTACGATGAAATGCATGTCTCCAGTCGAAGTGTTGGCGACCTTGAGACCGGAGTATGGCGCATCCAAAGAAGCGACCATTTTGCTTGCGCTGGGGTCCTTGATGTCGCCAACCCACAGGGTAACTCCACCGGGAACCTCCTCGTTGGTGCCATTGATGTAGATGATACCAGTCTCGCTGCCGGGAATCCAGGCGACCTCGTTGATCTCGCTGGCATTGAGGCCCGACTCGGTGATCTCGCCGGTCTTGAGATCGATGAGGTTCATGCCAGAACCCGCACTGCCGTGCTCCTCGAAGGAATACTGGGAGTACGAGAACAGACCGACAGAGCCATCGGGACTGGCGTCAGCGACGCCACGTCGGACGGTGCTGAGGAGTCCTCTGTTCACTTGTTAGCAGTTGCGCAAGCAACGGAATGTGGTGGTAAACGTACTCAGGCGTAAAGGCACAGGCGCCGGTAGCAGCCAAAGCCGCGGCAACGCTGATGTATCGAGCCATTTTGTATGCGACCAGCTTCGTAAAAGCTCAATTGGACAAGGTCGATGGTCGGAAAAGCTCAGGAAGGGCAGGCAGCTTATTTGTACAACGCGCTGCTCGGTACCTAGCTGCAGACCCTGGCTGGACGATATTTTGCCAGCGGGGTTTAGGGACCGGTACCTGGCTGTAATGGCGCTCCTCGTTGGCTACGCACTCGGTGATGGCATCAGGCTCGCCTGTAACGCGGTTGCTGCTATACCAAACATGTGAATAGATGGGCGCTGTTCACGACCGCTCCTTCCTGATGAAGGCTAGCGCTGCGGGCGCACAAACAAGCTCGCCGTCGGTGGGAACGTAGAAAGCATGTTTCTGTGTCGTCCTATCGCGACACGGCCCACATGTCCCGCAGTCGTGGCTCAGACTTGGCGGCCATCTCCATGCAGCTCTCACGTGAAGCTCCGCAAAGCTCTCGCCCAGATTGCTGGCGGCCGTGCCAAGACGCGCCGTCACGATCAAGCCCGGTGGCGGATAAAACGGCGCACCCGAAGAGGCAGGTCGATAAAAAGTCCAACACCCGCCTTTTACACATCGATAGCCAGTGCGGCGTTGCTGTGTCGCTTGTATGCTGCCTTACCATATGGGGAGGCTGGGAGTCTTGATATCGTACGGGCTGCCTCGGTCTGGTTCGGGCCTGCTGCGCGCCTAAAGCTTTCTATCATCCGTGAGCAAATTGGTGATCGGCACCTGCCTTGCCTGGCTTAGATATGCAGACCCTATCGATGCAACTGCTTCTTCGCGTTCGTGATGGCGCACGCCGTGACACCTCGATGACATCGAACGAATGGGCTGAGGGGCCGCCTCGTATCGCATCCAGCAAACTGCGCATTTGCGCTTGATGGCAAGACGTATGTACCTTGCTGTCCGCTCTCCTGCTGCACGTCTTCCCTAATCCGATCTCTCTTGCTTTCCAAGGCACTACCCCATATCTGCGAGCGTGCCAACGACTGCCAAAATACCGACGATGCGGCAACCGGTAATCAGCGTATCCACAGTCTCGGAAGCAGTTCGCTGTCGTTGCGGCTGTCGCGCCTCGTTCGTGGTCCAGGGATAAGGAACCTGAGTATTGCACCTTAGGGCTGAATAGCCGCAGTGGACCCATACAGTAGCTTTTCCGGTCTGGTGGGACATAGTCGTTGACAAACTCTTCTAAGATGCGATATGTTAGTACCGCGCGAGAGGTGGCATCGTGTTCAAGTTGGAGACTCCTTCGTGGTTGAGGGAATCGTAGCTTCCGATGCAGGTGTCTCGCTTGCCCCGCCCCCACGTGCCATGCGGACCGGGACGCGTCGGACGCGTTCGATCGCGTCTCTACAACACCAAATATCTTCCTACGGCCATCATCGAATGTATTCTTGTCAGCATGGTTCGGAGCCGTAAGATTCAGCATTGCGCTGTTTGAGGGTCAGCTAAGCGACTTATGTGGTAGCCTGACGACCCCCGCGGAAAGTGTCAACGAACGCTAGAGTGCGCCTTTGATTCAGACTGGGCCTGGTCTTGATTTGGGCGGAAAGACTCAGCACTATGAACTGCAGTGTAATCGTACTGAACATAGACAATTACTACTATGTGGTTTTTCAGCTGTACGCCGCAACAAACGGGTCGAACGCCAACGGCCTATTCTTCCTCAGAGCTATCCTCTGCCGACGGATCAATAACTTTATTCAGTACTCTGCCTCCATCAAACCTGAGCGTCTTCCGCAATTCGTACACGGTGGCTTCCAGATCCCAAACTGCGTCGACCAGTTTTTCTCTAGCCCCACCAACTTGATATCTCAGAGCACTGGCGTCCCACAACTCATCCACAACGCCCACTACGCTTATCCATTCCTTAAGCTTCTTGTTGGCGTCCTTTGCATCTTTCACTGCTGTTTTGAGAGCCGGTACGAGCAAGTCCTCTTCTAATCTCTTCCTCGTCCGTGCTTCTTTGTCTATGTGATCAGCGTGGAATGGGTTTTCTTCGAGAGATTCGTAGAGTCCTTTCCATTCGTTCTTCACCTTGACAATTTTGTCGATATTGTCGGTGTTGGCAGTGGTGGTGCGAGGTGCGGAACTCATGGTGTAGATGACGAGGAAGATAGGCGTGAAAGAATGATGTTATAGCCGTTGTGAGTTTGCTATTTGCGCTTGCTGTGCACGCATGATCATAGAAGGATTTCATGTATTAGTTGGTGCACTTTCTGGGGGTCTTAGTATGCTCAAGACAAAGGTAAAGGTCTAGCTTCGGGTGGAATCTGGCCTTGATTGTGAAGCGTAAAAGGCCAGCTGCTCAACTTTGAGAGACATGAATGCATGTATGGATGGCTCGATGACACATAGCCCTACCGATCTTTGCCTGCTCGATGTCAAACATTCCAAAAACAAGCCTGATCGATGCAGTCTCAGAAGGATGGCCAGGGATGTCGCGCAAAACAGTCCCAAATCTCACGAAGCACCATCCCCAATCTTGTCGCCAAACTCCCGCAAACTCCACTAACCCAGCAATGGAAACCCACGGATGACCTTAACCGACACGAACTTTTCCAAATCAACGCCATAAGCCTTCGATACTTCAAATACCCCCAGATCAATCATTCTCCACCTTTCAAAAAGCCGAAATGTCCAACGCTTCTCCCGCTCTTCTCATCCTTTGCTTGAGACCCTCCACTTCCTTCTCCAGCACCTTTGATCGCCTCTCAGCTTGTGCGCAGCGTGCCTGAGATTGACCGAGCTGATCGCGAAGAGCGTTCTCGTTGTTGAGCGTATTAGCGTGTAGTTCTGCCAGCTCATCGTGTTGAACTTGGATGCCGCGGTACGCATTTTGACTGAACATGCTTTCGTTTTTGACTCGGCTTATCTCCGCTGTGAGGCCGTTGACTTGCGCTGAGAGCTGGCGGTTTACTGCGACCAGTGTTCTGAAATGCTCAGGAGACCGGGCTTCCATATCGATCTCCGCTCTCAACTGGGCATTTGTTCTTTCACTGTTTGCTAGCCTGGCTTCTGCACTGATTGCCATGATAGGATGATCTGGGCTTAATGATCGCCGTAAGGTGCTGTGTGATGGGTGTATCTATGGACAATTAGCTTTGAGCGTGATTTAAGCTATTGCGTGTACGTACGATATGACTGTAGTCGCGACGCTTAATTCTCGCTGTCATCTATTAGCTTATCCAGATAGATGGAATAGAGGCTTCGTAACTTACCTGCTGCTGGCATGGGTTCATCATCGCCGGTGCGTTTCTGAGATGCGACAGTGCCGTGCGTTAAGTCAGTTCTATCTGGAATCGGCACTAGTGTCGCAGCGGAAGCTGGTACGGTTTCCGGTTCCTGTTTCTGGACTTTTGCGTGAGGCTTTGGACGGCTGCCCTTGTTTGCGATCCATGCGCAAGCCTGTTTAAAGTCGAGCCAGAAGTGATTGTAGTCACCTACCTCGTCGATGTAACCAGCAGCTAAGAAGTAGTAAAGCGCCATCGCTCGTACTCTGTTGCACAAAGTTTGCTTGCCAACTGAGAGGTCTCCGACGTCACAAAACGGTTCATCGATATCGACATGCTGGAGACTGTTCTGTTGCACGCGATAGATGCTCGAGTCTGGATTGACATAAAAGTACCCAATATAATGGGTCTTCAATCCATGTACGTAGATATAGACCAGAGGCTTGAAGTCCAGAGACGGGGCGTCGAAGGTGCCCAGAGTAAGTACCATCTCGGACGCGTCCTGTGGCCAATGGGTGTCGACTATTGGACCAAAGCTTTTGCGATGACTGAACTTGACGGTCTCGAAAGCCGGGAGTTTCTCAAAATCATCGGGTATGAGAGAACGTGCCTGCCTGGAAATGGTTTGTGTGTACCAATTCGTCACGCTTTCATCGATAGTGATGGGATTGTTGACGTTGGTATGTCCCATGGTAGGAGATTCTTGCAGTCTAGCACCGCGAAGCAGTAACTGTGAGCTCTGACGGGTTGATTAGTATTCCACCAATAGTAAAGTTATGCTGCACGCACAAGCTAGTGTACCGGATACAAAGGAAAAGGGCCGAGAAAGTGTGTTCGTAATTGGATACGATGGGAGGCAAGGTCTGGACCTTAAAGAGATGAGAGCTTTATACAGAGAGAGATCCTGGCAGATTTGAAGTGTATGAAGTGATAGAGCAAGGCTACAAGAGCGGTACGTGAGAGTGATGTATACCTGGGCAGGACCTGCACCTGAGTGAGAGCATACGAGATTACCTCGAGAAGCTACCGCGACAAGGTAAAGGCCATCAACGCGAAGTACGATAAGATGAGAATTCTGAGGGACACTTTTGACAAATATGATCGATCAGCATCACCGCGACCCTGTCAATTAGTTCTGAACCTTGGGATAGCCTGTACGTATGATCGTAGGGACGCGACAGGCTCGTTACCACGCGCATGTAGTGATAGAACTCAACCGAGTATTGTCATGCTCAGTGCGCAAATGAAGAGAAGGATTTGATCGTCTGTGGACTGCAGGCGGTCGGTCCTGGGCGAGATGGCTGATGACGTCGTAGTTGCCCTAGTAGGTCTCTCATAATTGCGGCACAAAAATTCTGGAAGCCACCACCATCTCGTCTCCGTCCTGACCATAGTCAAATTCCACCATACACCGTCTTCCATACCATTAAGTCTGCGGCGCTTTCGTCCACGCGTACAACGATCGGAATGCGCACTACCATCGGCTGTCAACCGGTTCGGCGGACTTTCTCAGCCAGTTGTTGCCGATCTCTCCGATCCCCGCCATTCATCCCCACAATCAGCCAGTAAAGCTTGAGCCGCCCTCCGCACGCTTGACTGATCTTGTACTTGCGCCCAGCTTTTAGGCTGAAGTACGGTGCGACCGTTAGACTTCGTTTTGTTTCCTCGGTGGGAGATGTCACGACAATTGCTGCCGTAAATGTGCTAATGACGTGTTGATCATGAGGAAAGCGTGGTGACCTATAAAGGATCTTGGGGACGGCGGCCAGTATGTGGATATTGACCGTTATCCATTGGCTTCAATCATGCGACTTTTACTCACCACACTGTTTTGCGTGCTGGGCGTTGCTGTAGCCGAAGATGGCTCACAAGGCTGGCTGCGCTATGCTCCTATACCGGACGGGCCATGCGCACAATCGGTACCCCCGGCGATCATCGCTTTGAACAGCACGAAAGTGAGCCCTGTCTACACCGCAGGCCAAGAGCTTCAGAGAGGCGTAGAGGGCATCATCGGACGAAAGCTGCACGTCAGCTCGACGGCAGACCAAAGCCAGTCTGCCATCATCGTCGGAACTTGGGACGCCTACGTAGCCGCGTACGGAAGCATCGATGAATGCGAGAACCTGGACGAAGATGGTTTCTTCCTTAGCACAACTACTCCCGGCAAAGTCATAATCATTGGACAGAATGAACGCGGTGCTCTCTATGGAGCCTTTGAGTATCTTTCTCAGCTCGCGCAAGACAACATCACGGCTGCTTCAACGGTATACAACCCGCAAGTACCCATCCGATGGACTAATGAATGGGATAATATGGATGGCAGTATCGAAAGAGGGTATGCTGGCCCTTCATTATTCTTCCGGGACGGATTTGTCGTAGATAACACGACACGGGTTGCTGAATACGCTCGCCTGTTGGCATCAATTCGTGTAAACGGCGCCATCATCAACAACGTCAACGCAAACGCCACGCTACTCAACGATCGCAACGTGGAAGGCCTTGGTAGACTCGCTGATGCGATGCGACCATGGGGTGTGCAACTTGGCATATCCCTCAACTTCGCATCTCCGAATGCTAGTCTAGGCACATTCGATCCTTTAGACCCGAAGGTAGATGCATGGTGGGCCAACATCACCAACCAGATTTATTCCAAGGTTCCAGACATGGCCGGTTATCTCGTCAAAGCAAATTCAGAAGGACAGCCTGGTCCATTGACCTACAACCGAACACTCGCAGACGGCGCCAACATGTTCGCGAGGGCAGCCAAACCCCATGGTGGCGTTGTCATGTTCCGCGCTTTCGTCTACGACAATCACATCAATGAGACCAACTGGTACAACGACAGGGCGAATGCGCAATTGGAGTTCTTTCAGCATCTCGATGGAAAGTTTGACGACAATGTAGTTGTTCAGATTAAGTTCGGCCCGGTATGTCTACAGACGCTATCTATTCAAGAGCAGACTAACGTATCTCTGTTTCCCCACAGATTGACTTCCAGGTTCGGGAGCCAGCATCGCCACTGTTTGGATCTTTACGGCACACAAGCACAGCTATCGAGCTCCAGATCACGCCCGAGTATCTTGGCCAAAACTGCCACCTAGTCTATTTGGCTCCACAGTGGAAAGAGATCCTCGAGTTTGACATGAGATCTGACAACCAGTCATCCAAAGTCAAAGACATTATCACTGGAGAGCGCTTCAAGCGACCATTGGGTGGCTATGCAGGCGTGACAGGAGTTGGATCAAATGCGACGTGGCTAGGCTCACATCTAGCCATGTCCAACCTGTATGCGTACGGTCGATTAGCCTGGGACGCGTCCGTTGACCCGAAGATTATCCTGCAAGACTGGATTCGATTGACATTTGGCTTTGACCCGGACGTGCTCGACACCATCACCGATATGTCCATGAGGTCGTGGCCTGCATATGAAAACTACAGCGGCAATCTCGGCATTCAGACACTGACTGACATTTTGTACACACACTTTGGACCAAACCCTGCTTCGCAAGACGGGAATGGGTGGGGTCAATGGACGCGCGCGGATGCATTCAGTATTGGCATGGACCGCACCGTGAAGAACGGCACTGGCAATGCTGGACAATACCCGCCCGAGGTCGCTCAAATCTACGAGGATATTGAATCGACGCCGGACAATTTACTGCTCTGGTTCCATCACGTTCCGTATACACAGCGACTGAAATCCAACAAGACTGTGATTCAGCACTTCTACGACGCTCACTACGAAGGTGCTGGTGTTGCGCAGGAATTTGTCGGGCAATGGGAGTCCTTGAAGGGCAAGATCGACGATGAGCGATATGAACATGTATTGTTCAGGCAAACGTTCCAAGCTGGCCACTCGATAGTTTGGCGCGATGCGATCAACGAGTTCTACCACAATCTCTCACAGATAGCGGACGAGAATCAGCGCGTGGGCAATCACCCGTATCGCATTGAGGCGGAGGACATGATGCTCGATGGTTTCATGACTTACGCCGTAAGCCCTTTTGAGACAGCTTCCGGCTATACGGCTATCGTCACAACATCAAACTCCACAACGGGCGTCGCGACCGCTAATGTCACGTTCGCCTCGGGAACGTACGACGTCGCTGTCAATTACTACGATTTGATTGGAGGTAAAGCGAAGTACGAACTCGAGGTTGGCGATCGGATCGTGGGTAGCTGGGTGGGGGATCTGGAAGACAAGCTGGGACACGCGCCGAGCGTGTATCTCGATGGGCACTCCGCGACGCGCATCACGTTCAGAGGTGTTGAGGTTCGGCAAGGTGACGTGGTGCGACTCACTGCGCAAGCTGATGGGATAGAGCCCGCCCCGGTCGATTACCTCTCATTCTTGCCACCTGGCATTGTTGACTGAGTCGCTTGTGCAGCAAGTATGTACAAAAAAGAAAAAAAGATGCGAAATTGAAATTGATGTCCTCGCATTCGCAGACGCGACAATCTAATGTTTCCACTGCCCAGTCGGCTTCATTTCCACTACCGGGTTCCCCTGCGCGCCTCCCGCCCCGCCTAACCCACAATAGCGACTTGTCTCCTATTCCCCCAGGCATGGCAACACCATAGCCCAGTCGTTGGTGGCTTTCGGAGACGGGGAATTTCACCTGCACTCCCGCAATTTGAGGCAGGTCTCTTGCATTAGCCACCGCTCTGCAGACGCAAAGCCCAACAACACCCAACCCTCCCTCAAACAATGCGCAGCCTATTTTCTTCGTAAACTGAGCGTGATCTGTGTCTCCCCCCTTTCGCATCCAACGTCGTGGGCCACCAAGTAACCGGCGGGCACGCAAGAGCTTGAGATCCGTGCCGTACGCCAGTACTTCACGATGTGACAAGCTCGTCAGCTCCGACCAAGCCAACACACCTTCAAAATCGCCGACCGGCATCGCCGTCCCAAAAACAAACACGACAGCCACGACAGCCCGGCAACGCCCTCGACGTCTTTTTCAAAGTGCATATTAGCATCAACTTTGTCAACGCACATCCAAACTAATGTCGCGTCCTAGTACAGTCGCTGCCCGATGCGCTGCGCTAGGAACTTCGATCGCCCAGGTAGCCGCTTCAGATGTTCAACTTTGCACCTACACGCGCTAACGCCCAAAACAGGTCATCCCGGATGTCAGCAGCTTTGCTCGCAAATTCCGCGATGCTCGTCACGACCTGAACAAGATCAACAGTGATCTGCTCGTGATCAGAACTGGGCTGAGTATTGCGCAAGACGACTTTTCGGCAAAGTGGGCCGAGCTGCCGGCGTCTCTGATCGATGCTGTCTCGCGAGTTTTGGACTCATGCGACGATACCTGTGAACGATTGCATAAGGCTTTTCTTAAGCTCTCATGTGGTAGTAAACCGAAAGAGGACTGGCGTGTGCTGAAGGACGGACCTTTGGTGAATCTACGGCATGATCTTGACGCCTCAAAGGTGGTGCTAGAGTTATGTCTAGACTATGTCGCATTGTACGTCGTTCACGGCAGACACTATTGAATGATGCAAGAAACTTACTCTGCCTAGATTCTCCCAACAGGATACGATGGACTCGTTACTTCAAAATTTTGTCAGCGATCTCATCACGCAAAGTGATGAACTGCTGAAGAAGACGGATACAGATGAGATTTACGTGAATCAAACAGCACGCGACAAACTGTCTTCACTATTACAGGCTGTCCGTCTGCTTCGATCATGTATCACAGCTATTAAACGGGACGGGCCGTCTGCATCACAGCTAGCAAAGAGGACTACTCTCCCACGTCCAGATTCCCTAGAGCCCGCCCTTGGCGAGGAGCCTCGAAGCGGCAGGAAGAGCCCCCACGAACAAGCTTCAACACGAAACAGCGCTAACGACGGCATTGGTACATGGCTCGCCAACGTTCCGTCCTTTGAAGACGCGCAGACTCTCTCTTATTCCGCACTTGAACAAACATCTGTTCCCAGGCGACTTCTGATACCGCCATCCCGGGAAGACATCACCCCATCGCGCGGCACATTCTACACTGACGACGGCGCGGCATCCAGCCCTACACTGGTACCACCAGAATCCCGACTCAAGAAGTCATACAGCTGGTGTACTGATCTCTCAGGGAAGGCGAGTACTCGGTTACAACTTGCGTCTAGACACGCATCAAAACAAGCATCAAAATACACATCAACGCTGTCCAGCTCAGACGTCTCCATTTTTCATAGGAAGATCACCTCGGACCGGATAGCTGTGACGAAGGGCAAACGAAAAGAGTTGGAGCCGAACCAGAGGGCGGCGGTAGATCGAATCCTGGCAAACATACCAGCGGAAGCGACAGCTGCTGAAGTGGAGAGGGTGATATGGGAAGGCGCAAACCCCATGGCGACACATCCAGAGTTCGGGTACTTCTTCATTCGAGTAGCGTACGAAATGTCGCCAGACATTCTTACCCTTCTCTTGGATTTTGGGGCTGACATTACTCGTGTCAACCCAGCACCATCGTCATATTACTCCGCAATGCATGCCGCAACCTTAGGACGGCAGCTCGCCACCGTCCGTTACCTTGCTTCTTTGGGTCACTCGATCGACAACCCTGATCACGATGGAGAAACGCCCCTTCATCTTGCTTGCAGGACGCCTGGTGCGTCTGCGATAGCAAAGTACCTTGTTGAAGCTGGTGTGGACGTGAACTTCGAGGCGAAGAGCGGACGTACACCACTACAGTCTGCTCTCAAAGCAGTGAGGCTGGAGGGTAAAGAGAGAAGCATGTTGATTGAGCTTCTGCAGACACATGGGGCTGAGGGTGAAGTGAAGAGGGATTTGGACTGTGGGAGGGGTAACGAGAAGGGAAGACATGTGCTTGGATTAACATGAACTTCCAGGTTGATCAGGACAAAATGAAAGTTCCTTTGTTTCTGCTTCCGGTGGCGATGATTCCTTCTCTCATTTTCGGGCTTCGCGCTATATCTGAAATAGTAGAATGGTCTCTTAGCTCTGCTTTGTACTCGCAGGGTCTCTTCGGGCGTTGTTATAATACGGTGGTCAACTGAGAATGGCGAAATCGGAAAAGATACCCAGACTGTTGTATTGTAATCATAATGGATGATGTTGAAGCCCCCTAAGCTGACTCCGGTACTGCTTGATACTACATCCAGCATGTGGTTGATCTGGAAGGTACTCTGAATGCCGAAACGTCTCTAGCCGCCGCTAACTTATCGCGAGGTCCACTCTTCGTCGGCCACCTCCGCTACCAAGGACTCACTCACCTCAACTTCCCACCCATCCCCAAATCTTGCAGCACACATTGCTCCTTACGACGTGTATCATGACCAATATGGAGAAGGCATACAAGATGTGGGTGGAAGGGAAAGAGGTGGAAGGCCGAGCGGAGCAGTCAGTTAGCGGGACCCCTCACTCGTGACCCACCCCAATTGCTAACAGCATCACAGGCTCGCCGTTGAAGACCCCGCGACTGGGGAGATCTTCGCGCACTGCCATGCTGCATCTGAGGCTGATGTCGAGAATGTTGTTAAAACTGCACACAAAGTCTTCAAATCGGGTGTGTGGTCGAAAGCCCCACGCCATGTGCGTGCGGACACGCTGGACCGAATCGCAGAACTTTTGACCAAGAATCTCCCAAGGCTTATCGCGCTGGAAGTACAGCAGACCGGACGCGCTATTCGTGAGATGAACGCCCAGGTTCCGACTCTTACGAAATGGTTCAAATATTACGCCGCGTTGATACGAACTGAAGAGCGCTCTGTCTTGCCAACCGTCGGCAAACTACACAATTGGGTTGACCGTAAGCCGCTCGGTGTAGTCGCGCAAATTACGCCGTTCAACCACCCAATGTTGATTGCTGTCAAGAAGATCGCACCCGCATTAGCCGCGGGCAACTCCATCGTGCTGAAACCAAGTGAGCTGACGCCGCTCACCAGCATTGAGCTTGGCAAGCTTCTGAAAGAGGCCGGCTTGCCCGACGGCGTCTTTTCAGTGTTGCCAGGCGACGGCATCACGACCGGAAAGGCTCTTGTGGAGCATCCGCTCATCAAGAAAGTCGATGTTACTGGCGGCACACCAGCAGGACGCGCCATTGGCGCCATCGCAGGACGCAACCTGGCACATTACACCGCCGAACTTGGTGGCAAGGCTCCGCTGATCGTGTTTGAAAAAGCGCACATGGATCTTGCAGTCAACGGCATTGTGTTCGCAAGCTTCATAGCCAGTGGCCAGACATGCGTGGCAGCGACGCGTATCATCGTGCAGAATAACATCATCGATCAGGTAGTGGAGAAGCTGAAAGCCAAGGTACAGAGCATCGAGAGGCGGATGGGCTCACCGAAGAATGTGGAGTCTATGATGGGTCCCCTCATATCGGCGAAACAGCTCAGCAACGTTGAGACACTAGTCAACGACGCAAAGGATGCAGGTGCGACGGTTGTCACAGGTGGCCAACGAATGACTCACAAGTCTTCACTGGACGATACCGACTTCTCGAAAGGCTACTTCTATCCACCAACAATACTGGCGGATAGCACCACAAAGAAGATTGTCGACACGCGTATATGGAAGGAAGAAGCCTTTGGTCCTGTCATCGTCGTCGTAGGTTTTGACACGGAAGAAGAGGCCTTGGAGCTTGCGAACGATAGCGAATTCGGTCTGGGCGCAGCTATCTGGACGCAAGATCTTTCGCAAGCTTTCCGCGTGTCGGAGAGCATCGAGAGTGGCATTTGCTGGGTCAACACGCATCATCGCAACGACCCAAGCTCACCGTGGGGCGGCATCAAGAGCTCAGGAGTCGGTAGCGAGAACGGTATCGACGCTTACAATGCGTATACAGCATCGAAGAGTACGATCATAAACTATGCGACGGCTGATGAAGGGCTGGCTAGCGATGACTGGTTCCGGGAGGGCGCTGGCGAGGTTAGATATGGATGAGAGATATCGTGTCTCGATATAGTGAAAGAGAGGCCGCTATCACGCGAGGCTTCATATTTCGTAGAAAGAGCCACTCTTGAACGTCTCATGTGCTCTAAGATAAGCACAGTGAAAGAACACAACAATCTGTGACTAAGACCTGGTGGTTACTGTACCTTCGCTGACGTGGGTCTTGCGAATGACCTAGGCCAGTGAGAGAGAAGGTTCGTGACTATAATCGGTCACTTTATGTGCTAACCATTCCCTACCAGACGTTGTGCTGATCTACTCTTCTCTCAACCCTAAGCATTCTGCTGAACTAGTGTCTAGATCTCCAACTCTATCGTCCGGTCATGTCGAGCACTGATCAGGATGCGCCAGCGTATGCACCATCCGGGGGCCAAGGAAAGGTCCACAAGTCTATTTCATCTCTGACTCTCTCTTCCACTTTGAGGTCCAGATCTCCTGTCATAACCCCAACTGTAACAAGAGAGCGAGGCACAGACCCTGATGCCCCCTGGACGGCCAGGTCATGGGTAGGAAGATCTAACAAGGGTAACATGTTTAGAGCACTACAAAAGGCGGGCGAAGACGTCAGTGTATATGGCAATGCGCCTTGGAAAGACTTCACGGCAATGGACTTGGCTCAGGCTTTGGTCGCCAGGCGCAATAAGCGCATCGATCAAGGACTCATCGAAGGAACACCAATCATAGGTGGTGACTATGAGCGAAAGCCGCGATCCATCAGCTCCACCAAAAAGAAAGATATCCTCCGTATACACACAGCTCCAGTGAAAGAGCCCGAACCGATCTCAAAACGCGAATCTCTGTTCATTTTAAGGAGCCTCCATTCCCACCTTAAAATGATCAAGAACGCTGCTATTGACGAGGCAGAAACCTCACAGCACGGCAGCCTACAAGCGGGAGTAGATGACATAAATGCATATGTCAACCCTTACCCAGAGCTCTGCAGCTCACCTGGGTTTGAGCTTGACGGGAAACCTCTCACAAATTTCAGGATCATTATGGACTGTTTTTCGAAGCCCATGATATCGGAAAAAGCCCAAATGCTGGTCCGCACGGTCTTGCACCATCAACACGAACTTACCCATTACCACCAGCAGTGCAGAGAAATTGACCGAGACAAGAAACACTACTTGGCATGCCTAAAAGAAGTCTACTATATCCAAAGGACTGAGCTGTGGCGCGAAATGATGAAGAGCGTAAGTGTTGACACTGATAGCGAGATGGGAAAGCAGGTGGAGGCTATTGTCAACGACACTTTTGTCAATGTAGAGGATCTGTAGAGGGATGGTCGACTTTAGGAAGGCCGCGACGAAAGTCCGATAGTGTTAGTCTGCTAGACATGAACTAAATCGTGCTCTCAGAAGCTAGTGATGCAAGCGGGAGTGCTTTGGCGCGTGCGATATGGAACGGAGGGGCAAACCTTGGAAGTCCGGAGATGGCCGAGGTCACGTGGGGAAGATTGCTTCGGAAGGGTGACGTCATCGCTTCGGCGAAATTTTGCGACGCGTCGCGACCAACGGCAGTAAGACCACCACCAGCCACAATTTCAACAGCTGTCTTCAGTGCACACTCCTCGTCCCAAACTACACGTCTTGTTCAAAGGCTACGATCAGTATCGGTAGCATGAAGCGCCTAATGCTCGACCAACTGGCCATGCAGCGGCCTACCAGGGGTGGCAGCCAGAGCGGTTCAGGGCTCACTCTCTCCAACTCAGCAAGCATGGAAAAGGATCGAGCTTGATGACAGATTTTGGAACGGTTGTTTTACACCTTATCATGGCTGACTACTAATACTACAACAAAACAGCTGTACAGAAGCAAACGTCCCTCCTCTCGTCCATAAGCCCCGAGCCTGCGATCGAATGTGCTCCCACGGTCGATTCGATTGACACGCGTCAAATGCTGTACTACTCATCATCTAGAGCGAATTCTTCGTCATCAGCATCGCTCAAGCTCCACAGCATCTTGTCCTCCTCAGCGCGACGCTCGTCCTCGGCATCCAACTCACGATCGCCGATCCTGCCTGGGTACCCAGGTGCCAGAAGCTTGTCGAACAGAATCCGCCCACCGACCGCAACATCGTCACTAGCCTTGGCTCGCGAGACAGCACGCTGCTCTTCGTGGTCGAGGTTGTCGGTAATAAATGTAGGCAGGGGTGGAATGTAGTGCCTAAACTGATGGGTACACCGACTAGTCTGATGGCCAAAGCGATACTGCTTACTACGGAAGCGCTTGTTCTCAGGGCCAGGAGCTTTCGCGCAATTGTCGCACTCGATCGTCTCCTTTACAGGGCACGCGTCGGCGTCATGCACGTCTGCTGTCTCGCAGTACCAACAGAACTGAGCAGTGCCCCACGTCTGAGGCGAGATAGCCTTCTTCTCCTCAGCAAGATCGGTCCAGATATCGTTGATGGAACGACCGGCGATGCTGCAGTCTGACGGGAATTGATTGCCAGGCATACCCGGGAACAAGACTGGGAAGAGGACAACGAGAAAGAACAGTGTTGTCTCATACACTGCATCGTTGGAGCTGTTGTGTAGCCAGATGCTACTTGTATTGATTTGGAACCCACGAAGAAGCTCGACGAATCTCGGCAAGCTTTCACCGCGTTCCTTGTCTGGGACAGCGACGATACCAGCGTGGCTCGCCAGTGCCCCAAGCGATCGGATCGTAAGAACGATGCTGTCAAGCTTAGCCGTGTTAAGGTTCCATTGCTCCTTCAGCTGGCGCTCATCATTGTTCAGGCCTTGACCAAAGAAGATTACTGGCCTCTTGGATCCATCATCGCAGCGCTGGTTGTCGAGAAACTGGACCAGGACTGCTTGGGCCTCAGACTTCGTAACGAAACGCGTTTGACAAAACCTTGGGTTCAGCTCAGTATCGCCGAAAGGAATACCAAACTTGTCTTTCCCCTTGTTCCGCATATGACACGTCTCCACGATGCGTAGGTGATGTACCGCGAAGTTTCGAATGAGATTCTCGAAATCGCTTGGGCTCTTGCAGCCACGAAGCTTCTTCATCGGGAAGACGACGAGACCGCCCTCGTTGATTATCTCCATTGGGTTATCGGGAGGTTGGTTGTACCATTCGAGGTCCAGACAAACTCCCAGCGTATCGTCCCACTTTGCCGGTGCGCCTGGGATTGGAGTGGTGCTAAAGCTGCGGACGAGGTCAAGAGCTTTGCGACCCTTGCAGAAAGCCTTGACACCCTCAAGAGTGTTGGGATATATCGTAGTGGTCGAAGCCATATTGTGTACTCGTTTTGTACGACTTTAACAGTTAGTCTAGGTCGAAGAATGAAGAGAGCCTTTCTTTACCTCTATATATCCGGAGATGGGGAACTGGTATTTCAAGGATTCCGATCTGACGGCTCGATCCAGGTCACACGACTTACGCGTTTCGATGTAATGTCTTTCGATTGAGGAGTCGAGTTGAGCTTCGCCACGAGGAACTTTTGGAGCAGAGACCGTTGTTTATATATTGACAGAGGAGAGTAGCCAGGCAACTAGCGCGTGAAATGCAGCGTGTACCCCCCAGACAACAGGAAGCATATTCATTAGGCCCATTGACTAAGTCACTGGGCCGACACAGCCCTGGAGAGTGCCGAAGATGGGCTTGCAAAGTCAGTGTCGACATCGAGCAGCTAAATACCGAAAGCGTTCAAGCAGCCAGCAAACCAGCTATTCGCTTGGTCATACTTGCAAGCCAAAGGCTAGATGGTGACAAGCTTTGGGTAGACTGGACAATTGGCTCGTGCTACTGGTTGTATGTCTGCGAATGGAAATGGTGTTCAAAAACATTCCTACAGCTGAAGGGTTTCATGATTTTTATGAGTGTTGTCAACTGGTCTGCTTGCAAGCATGCCTTACGTAAATTCCTCCCCCGTTGACTTGCTAAGCTGCCTTATGCGTTCACATGCTAAGGCTCAACTAACTTCTCCAAGACCTCACTCATTGCCCTGTCCGCCTCGCCCATCCTAGCCCCGTGATCGTCTCCGGGAAGCTGCCATGACAGACTGTTCTGTAACCTCTCCCAGAATTCCAAGTAATCTCTCATCGGCACCTCTAGCACGGTCTCAACCTCATCCTCCGGAGTCTCAGCGTGTACCTGGCGAAGTTGTGCTGAGATATCGAGGAGGAGCCGGATCATGTGCTGAGAATAGAGGTCGATCATGATAGGCGGTGCGGCGAGGGCTAGTGACGTCGGCTCGTGGCGCGCACCGAAGCGGTCAGGGTCGAGAGACAGATCCTTCTCCTTGAGTATGTAGTCCTTGGCCAGGCTGAGCTTGCTGCGCAACATCCCGTGGTATTTTGCCTCTTCATCGGGACCGAAGTTGGCAAAGTCAGGTGCCTCGTTGGTTTTGGCGTCGACGAGCGTTGCGACGGTGAGCTTTAGATGCTTGAACCCGTTGTCTTGTTGGTTGAATGCGACTCTTGAATCGGTGTTGCGGCCACCCCCAACCTGACCGGAGACCCAATGGCGGCGGAAGTCATCGTGGGCGAATGCGAGAGCGGTTTTGTCCTTGTCGTTGACGCCGATCTTGCGGGTGCGTACAGGCATTGTGAGTGTAGCTGGGGTTCAAATTTGCGGTCGCGGTAGGAGTATGAGGGAGCAAATGATCGAATGATTTCGCGACTGCGATCTCGCCGTAGAAGTGGCTAGAGAGCGGGGGTGCACACAGGCAACATCAAGGCAACGAGGGCAGTGCTTGGTGCAGAGCTTGGAGTGTTGGTGAGCACGGGCCGCGAGTCGCATTCACTACCGTATCGTTATAAGTTCCTCTTATCAAACAATTGGTAGAGCTACAGACTGGGCACAGGGAACGTACTACTCCGTGCGCTCTCTATCTAGAACAAATCATCTAGGTAGTCTGAGCTGTCCAGACATCCAATATGGACCACTATGCCACCAAGAGCCTGTCCTGCCTCTAACATCTTTTCCGCCTCCTCTAAAGCAGACTCGGTGGCATCACTCAATTGCCTGGTTTCATTGTCATACGCGACGACCTCCATCCGTTGCGGATCATACTGTCCTTTGTGGTAGTAGCTGATACCGCTCTTACGAAGACGTTTTAGTAGACCAACTAGTGCCATGGTCTCTCCTTCGATGATCATAGGGAATGTTGGAGTTTCGGAAATGCGGATCTTGTACCGAAAGTCGTCCTTTACTGGGTTGCATGCTTCCATCAATCCATCACCCTTTCGATCTTCAATTTCGTCGGGGTCTGCGATGCACCAGTTACCATCTTCATAAGGATCGTAAGCGATGTGCGAAAGCTCCCACATCATCAGCTTGATACCTTGCGCGCTGATATACACATGCGGCTCACAGGACTGTCGAGCGGCCGATCGCGGCGACTGAAAGATGATCCGTGAGGGTCTCCACGACGCCATACAATTATTGAAGGATTCTTTCGACTTTGGGTCCTGAAATATTCTTCTCTTCTCTCTAGCGTAGCGGAAGATGTCACGACCAATCTGTCGACTGTATATGAACGCAGCTTGTTTTGCGAAGGCGTTGGCAAGATCTTCCCTTGTCAACACTCGCGCTATCTTAGCGATCCTGCAAGTGCACGGCAGGTCGACGAGGGTGTTGGGATTTGCTGTGTTGTAGGCTTCGTGAAGTTCCTTTTGTGGGTTGTCTTGGTGCCAATCAGGCTGGTTTTCATCCTCATGGGTATGCTTGCGTTTCAGGCCTGCGACTGCAGAGGTAGAGGTACGAAGTCAGTGTATGTCTCACATGCACTTCGTACAGTTAAAACTTACCAACGGGGGGCGGGATATATGAGTGTGATTTTGGTTCATCGTGGGATTCTGGTTCATCATGCGATTCTGGTTCATCCTGCGCAAAATCCGGAACACCTTGTGGTGTCGCATCCGATGGAACATGGTCTCCAGTTTCCTTGGGCTCCGCATGCGCTGTGTCGTCATCGTTCGCTAGAGTGGCGTTATAGCTATCTTCTTTCCTTGGTTCTGATACTTCCTCACTGGGAGTTGAATGTAGTACCGTAGAAGCTGCAAGACCCAGATTTTTCTCCTTCCGTGCCTTGACGTGAGCCAATAGAGCCTCGATTATTGTATCTGCGGATGTCTTCGGGGCCTGTAGAGATCTGATGTCGTACCCATCGTCCTTTAGCAACTTCAATCGTTCGATATTGTTGGCTTTCTGCTTCCACGTCTTTTTATCCCAGACTTTGTCCAAGCTCAGTCCCTTATGAGCGATGCCTTTACATGCTTTTTCTTCCCAGATATGATCTTCTGACGAGAGTTTCGCGCATGGATGTGATTGTGAGATGACAGGAGCCGCCTCGGGTGGGTCAGTGGCTGGTACAAGCAGACTGCCGGCGAGAACATCGGAGTGCAAACTTATCGGCGTTAAAGGTAAAGGAGGCACGAGGTGCTCGGGGCTGTTTGCTTCCTGGGTGCTAGAGACATCATTTCTCGCGCGCATCCGCTCAATAATGTCTTCATCTGGGTGTTGATAGTTTGAACCATTGGCAAGCGCTTGCGCACGACACAGCTGATCGATCGTGAGATCCTTCGGCTTACTGTTTTCCGTGTCCCACGCATGGTTGATACAGCGAGGCTCAAAGGCGACAAAGCGATTAGTCTTTTGTGAATGCTGGTGGATCCTCCTGTCGATGCGATGCATCTTATACGAAGCAAGTCTTATGATGGTGATTAGTCTCGTAAAAGTGCGAGGATGGTATTCGGTACCGGTTTGCTATACAGGTACTGTTTAGCACTTTTCCAAACTAACGTACTTGGATGAAACTGGGTGGTTCTTCCGTGCAGGACAAGAAGGCCAGCCAAAGAAGTAGAGCCGAATGGTTGTGAAGAGAGTGAGAGATTACTAAAGGGTGTAGTCCGCGCCCATAGTTATACAGGAAGCAGGTACATCTTTTGGGGCACGTCGCTTTCCCTCCACGTCGTGTGACATGATCTTTGGCGCGTGTGAGTGACGCTGGATAGCTTTCACCAGGTTGAATCGCCAATATGTCCGTAAAGAGAGCTGATTGAGAAGCAAATCGAAGTCAGCTAGTAGGGCGTAGCTACAGGCCGAGCTCTTGTATGTAGCATTAGTGAAAAGTCCATAGTATAGCCGCCGTAGTGAATATACCGGATCAATGTCCTTGTGCGAATAGTCGGACGCATTGTAGAGTGCAGTAGCAAACAAAGAAAGCTCCGAGTGAAATGCACCGTTCTAGACTGGCCGACAGAGTTGAATGTATGTCGTGAGTAAGATGTAGCAACCTTTTGTTAGCTAGGCCATATTGTATTGAGTTCATGGCGACGAACATTCCCTAATGTTTCAAGATTCCGAGCTCATAAAGCAAACCCTCTCATGTGAGTAACACCCACCTAGAATTGGGAAGCTTCCGGAAAGACAGTGATAAAATGAGATAGGACTCTAGTTCTCGTGGCCACGCTTGAGGCTCGAGCCGCCATAGTGGAACGAGATGACAATAAGATCGCTTGTTCGACGTCACGGGCGACAGAACCATCGAGAAGATGCGCAGCAGAGCTCCCTGGAAGGGGCGGACTGTTCGTTCGTCGTTGACGGTAGAGTGTTGGGGTAAGCACGCGTGCGATGAAATCTGCAGTAGTGCTGCTCTGGCCAAGGACCGACGCGTTGTTCCGGCAAGCAGCTTAGGGGCCTCGTCACATATTCCAGTCGCAGTGTAACCGGACATTCGCTTTTCATCGCGGGGCATAGTTTCCGAGATGGCGCTGATGGTGTAGGTGATTGGATTCGGTGGGTGTGACAGACACGAGGTCCGGCCAAACCTCGGCACCGAGCGCGTGGGCGACGTGACACACTAACTTTAGTGGCGTCATTCATCCAACCTCCTTCAATTCAAACACATCTTCTCTCCTGACATCATTCCTGTCAGTCTGACTGCCCTGCTCTAGTCTCATCGAGACATCGCCGGATGAATACATAGGCTCTGTCTCGCTTTCAGCCCACGTGTCTTTCGGATCCGGGTTCGACCACCTCACGCCGTCCATTCGCGACAATATGCCTCGCGACCTTTCTCAGTCCATTCGGCAAGTACATGCTTACTTATCGATTCGTCCTGCATTCTCTACATCGCGTTCGCTTTCAATGAGGTGTACATCCATCGCGCCATTACCTCCACGCTCACCGTCTCCTCGTCTCCGCCATCGTGTCATCTTGTTCAATGTTATCAGTTGCATGGTCATTCCTGTACATCGAAGATGCCTTCAACGCGAGTAGACGTTCGATCGATCTTTGGTGCCGCTTATGCGCGCATCCGTGCGTGTTCATGTCTCCGCCCGTTTGTTAACGCGCTGTCACGTGACAAGGCGCTTGCTGCCTTCAGGGCAGGCTGCTTGCTATTGGCTGTCCGTGCTAGCACAATCACCTCTATCAGCACAATCAGCTGTACCGATACTACATTGTTGTAAACACCGACCCCGTCCTCCCCTCGCTGCAGCGGACTGGCAATGGCCGCGCCTGGCAGCAACCGCTATGCGATGTTCGCTAGTGCAGACAGCAGCGAAACTCCCGTCCGCAGTCCCGCTATTGACCATTCTCAAAACCCATTCCTCAATCAGATTGCCGATGACTCGATGCCATGGCAAGAGGTCAAGAAGCGCGGCGCTCCTGCAGTACAGCCGGCACCACCGGTTCGACGCTCTCCGCAGGTGCTGAATGACCGCACCAAGGCTATCCTCAACCGCCCACGCGCCCAGCAAGGGCAAGATCGCATCGTCTCGGGCTCAACGGACAACACACCCGAAAAAGCATACGATCCACACGAGAACTGGTGTGGCGTCTGCTCGTACAAGTTCGCCAACAAAGCTGCACTGCTCAGTCACATTAAGCAGAGCGTCGGACACGAAAACTATTGCAACCTCTGCAAGCGCGTCTTCGTGGACCGCAATGGTCTCAAAAACCACGTCGACAATGCAGCGAACCATGAAGTTCATTGCAACCTTTGTCTCTCCGCTTTCAAGGATGACTGGGCTCTCAAGAACCACTTCGAGAATAACTACAGTGTCGGCCATGAGTGGGTGTGTCTCACGTGCCTGCTCGGCTTCAAGACTCGCGCTGAGTTGGAGCAACATCTTCAGACCGCTGCGAAGCATACGTGGTGCGGAACATGCAAGCAGCGATTTCGCAATCAGGATCAACGCGATGCCCATTGGGAACAGACGAACAGTAAGTGGTCTGAGAGATTCTAGGTTGCGAGCTCGTGTCTTTTTGCCTCATCAGAGCGTTCATTCTCTTTTCCTACGATTACTTTATCTTGAAGACTTGACTGACCAAGGTAAGGACATAAGCATTGCTTACAACCAGGTTGCGAATTCGATGGACCGGACCAGTCCGCGCTTGCACGACATCTCAAGTGTGATCACTTCCAGTGCGAAGGCTGCAAGCGCATACTACCGAGCTTTACCAAGCTTACGCAGCATTACGAGAGCTGTGCATTCGCACTTGCCTGCCCCCAATGCGGCGAGCACTGTGCTGGAAAGGCCCAACTGGGTATTCACCTCGAGAACTGTTTCCTTTGCGAGGAATGTGGCTTCCACACTCACCACGAGGGCAACTACCACATTGTGAGTGATCTGCCACGCGACTGACTCACGACTGCCACGCTGACAACACACCAGCACATGACCAAGCACAGGTCCGCTGACATTGGCTGTTGGGCCTGCGACGCACCGATGCGCACCTACTCCAGTCTCATCAATCACTTGGAGTCAGGCAAGTGCCCCAACTTCAACGATCCGGCACTTCTTACGCGCTGTCTCGGAAAGTGGTGGTACTCGGCGCTTTACATGGATCTCGATATGCATGCGTCTATTCGCATAGGCCGCGTCGATATCCGCGAGGTACAGCGCTGGTCGGCATCTGGTGACCTTCACCCTTTCGTGTGTCGCGACGAGGGATGTGGGAAGATCTTTGGTCATCTGAGTTCGCTGGTATTGCACTGTGAGAGTCAGGCTTGCGGTTGGGGTGTCGATCGCCTGAACATGCCTGGGCTGGAGAAGGAATTCAAGCATACGTGTCTTCGGAGGGATAGTGCCACTGCCTAGGAGCGAGTGCAACCTCCGATGGTAGTGGAGATGCTCGAGGATCGACATGGAACGCGGAGGACCGTCATTCGTTCTGTCCCATCCATATTACTTGAGCTACGCCAGAATATGCTCACTCAACATGCAAGGCTCAGTCATCTGGTTCATAACATACCATGACGGCTTAATTGACCCAGATTCCATGACTGTATTGACTCGTTCAACGTGTAACTAACTACCACATCGGGCGCACTAGTGCATCGATCACTACACAGCCGAAAGATGCGAACTAGAAACCCAGCTGGTTCTAGTTACAGTGTTACAAACGAGCTCCTTCGACTGCTCTCTTGACCTTTTGAACACTTCATGACACATGGCACGCGTAACCTTCTCCACCACCCTGTTACAGTCCTACCGCCTCCGCTCACCATTCTCGCTGCCCTTACCCTCTAGACGCCCGGTGATCTTCTTCTCGAATTCATCAGGATGAAGCGTTCTGCCTGTCTTGTCCCTGAATCGCCAGCTGACCCTATTCCATACCATTGAGCAATCTTGTTGTAAGATGCGAGCGACTAGACGCAAGTCATCGGCGGAGAACGTATCGTCAGGTTTGACTTCGAGTTCGAGAGGACGAGCGGCGATGGGGCGGGCGTTGTTGTTGTTGCCGTTGTTGGCATTAGGCTGAGGGGACGCTCGCGGAGGCACTTTGTTTGAAGTGGCTTTCTGCCTTGAAGCTTTCGCATCTCCGGCACCGCCGCCGGTGTTGTTTTTCTGGTTGTTGTTCGTCCCTTTACTCCGGTTGTTTCCACCGATATTGTCCCAGCTCGCGGCAGCATCATTCGCGCCGTCTTCACCACCCGTAGTGGCGCCAGTGCCCCATCCAACTTGGGTTTCCCAAGCATTCGTACCAGTACCTGCAGCATCTCCCCCAGCATAGTCCCAGCTTACAGTACCGCCCCATACATCGGGTGCTTTGTCCCCAGAATTGTTCTTGTCGCCAGACTCGTCTTTGCCGTTACTAGTATCTTCTCCAAACGTGAGACCCAATAAACCGCCATCATCCCCCGTCTCCTCTTCCTTCTTCTCTTCTTTCTTCGTGTCATCCTTGTTGTTTCCATCATGTTGATCTGTTTTCTTCCCCTTCTTTCCCTTCTTGCCTCCACCCCCTTGGTTGGCCTCGTTGGCCTTGTATCCCTTCGGTTGGATCTCTTTGAAACGGTCGATGCAATCTTGCTTTGTCTTACCACCAATCTCTTCGCCCATCTGAGCCCAACTTTTCGAAGTTTTAGTTTTCAGCTGTATCAGCTTTTCATCTTGCTCTTTAGTCCATCCGTTTGACTCCCCATCCTTCTTGCCATCATCTTCTGGGACTGTGTTGTTGTCCGGGACATTCGTAGCTTCCCAAGGTGCTGCGGGTTCATCTTTCTTCTCTTTGTTGTCGTCGCCACCTGTAGCATCTGGAGTAGTACCCCAGGTGGCTGCAAATGGATCGTTTGTGTCATTGCCCGATTCCTGTACGACCCATCCATCACCTTGGTTACTTGAGGCCTTCTTCGAGCTCGACTTCTTCGATTCGCTCTTTGCATTGGTGTCACCCCACCCATCGTTACCCCACAAGTTATCTCCATCAGTGGCGGGCTTGGTCGAAGCTGCTTTCTTTGGGGTATTCTTCGCACCTGCTAGCTCCTTTGCCGGCTGTCGTTCAGAAGGTACCTTCGCAAGGCTGGCTGCAGTAAGTCGTGGTTTGCCGGTGCCTGTGAGCCTGCCTTTTCGTCCGTCGCTCGCGGTCCACTCTACGATGCGACCAGGAGTAGACATCTGGTGGCAATTAGCCTAAAGCTTCGTCATGGTATTCAATGGGGGCAGTCACTATGTTAGCAGGTTGGCCGGGCTTCCTAGTTTGCGGCGGAGGCGGAGGTGCGGGTGGCTTTACTTCCTTGTACGGCTTGTCGCTAAAGCCTAGGATGTATGCCATGGACACTCTACGCGGAACGCCATTTGCATCCGTCATCCCGATAGCTTGGAGGTGCAGGCGCTGAGTTCGAAGTGAGGGTGTTGACACCGTGCGCAAGAAAGGACGCGGTCCGTAAGCGACGACGACGAAAACGCCACGCGGAGACGAGCGGCAATTGAAGTGAATAAAGCAAGCTGAGGTTGAGCGCACAAGAAAGACGTGCTGTTGTTGCGGGGACAAGTGTGGGAGCGGACTGACGATGGTCTTGGCGGCAAACAGATCTGTTCAGAACCTCTAAATTTGGACGGCAGAAGAGAAGGGTACATGACCGAACGATAACAGAATTTAAAGAAAGGACGTTATCATAAGACCTACGCGCACAGAAGAAAGGAAGTAGACGACGAAGAGAATATTTCATGAGAGATACACGGGTGTTACCTTCCGCCTCAACTCGTTGACGTAGATATCCAGGCTACCAGCGATCTGAGCTGCTGAATCACGACACACCATCTCCATGGTTCCCAGCTGTACCTTGAAGTTCTGTAGTAGCGCATTGTGGTAACCGTGCGAGACCCTGAAGGGTAGCGGATGTCAGCGCACGCAGACTGCACAGCGAATCGCGAAATTGTCATGTCATGTACTGATCCCTAACATATTAGAACAAATGCTGCATCGCATCCAGGATTCACTAGGAAGGCTGTGAACGAACAACAATATTGCGGGGTGTAGGACAGAGCAGGACGCCGTTCGAAGGAAGTTGAGACGGAGCCGTGGCTGACTAATCTGAACGCTAACTTTCTGGGCCCTTGCATTGCGGGCAAGCTGGCATCTCCGTGTACGTAGCTTGGCGCTCGACGAAACACCGAATTCGACACGACAGAGCAGCATCACCATACACCCGCCATGCTGTTCCCATCTCTCGCCATGCTCGCTGCGGCGAGCAGCTTGCTGTCATTCGCGACGGCGCACAACATCCAAATGAAGGCCCACCAGCGCGAATGCTTCCACGAGTCCCTCCACAAGGACGACAAGATGACAGTCACGTTCCAAGTCGGCGACCGGGAGTTTGGCGGCAGCGGAAACCTGGAGATCGATTTCTGGGTGCGTCAATGAGACTCCAATTCTGCCTCCAAACCACATAGCTGACTATTTATCCACAGATCGAGACGCCCTCTCGAAGCTACCAAGTCCACGAACGCGGCGTATCCTCCGGCGACCACTCCTTCGACGCCAAAGAAGACGGCAAATACACATACTGCTTCAACAACGAGCACTGGGGCGCAAACACGAAGGAGGTCTCGTTCAACGTGCACGGCATTGTCTACGTCCCTGAATCGGAAGCCCCCCAAGACCCATTGGAGAAGGAGGGTGAGGAACTACACTGAGCAGCTGGAGAGGATAGTACTGACAGAACTAGTGCGGACAATGTCGGAACTCGTCTCCCAGGTCAAGGACGAGCAGAGCTACATCATCGTGCGCGAGCGCGTACACAGGAATACTGCTGAGAGCACCAACGCGCGCATCAAGTGGTGGAGCATCTTCCAGTTGATGGTACTCATCGGCCAGGGGTTCTTCCAGGTGTGGTGGCTCAAACGGTTCTTTGAGGTAACCAACACCCGTGCATCCTATCATCATTCCAACAGTATCCAACTAATCCCGTCTACAGGTCAAGCGTGTTGTTTAGCTTTCCCTCTTCTTTCTCACGAGCTGCGTGCGGCGCAACATCTCTAGTTTTTGCCGCCAGTCTACGCACTTTGTCTCGATTCTTCTGGCGTTGGAAGCGTTGAATAAGCACAGGAAAAGGCGGGAGTATGGTGGTTACTTTATGACTCATCAGCGAGATCTGGGTAAGATTACATTTTCATATGCAGAGTTCATCCAGTTCGCTCTATGTTCCACGGGTCTGCTTCTGCCTACGAAGCTTGGCACGGATGGACCCGACTAAAGACTGGTTTGGGTCAGCTGATTCGAAGACAGCCTGGCACCTCGAGAAGAAGATCATTTTAGTGGTTGATGAAGACAGGTTCCGTGAATGTTAGTGTGGTTAGCCCACCTCAACGTATTACTGAATCATTCACCAATCTTGCTTCCATCTGCGGCATTTCTATATAAAGGTGCTCGTATATCACTCCATCTTAATAGATTTGTCCCTACCTCAATGCTCTCAGCCCAATTTTCAACCCTTCGTTTGCCATCAATCTCCTGATCCATCTCATTATGTCAACAACAGACCAGTCAGGCAGCGACGTTGTAGCCTCAACGTGGTCAATCCGCCACTTTGTGCGCGTCTCTATCCGCAGTTGTCGGGTGAAGGCGGGAGACACGTCGCGAATTTGCACTATCGGTGTACTCCTTTGTGTTGTCGGGGTAGCGTGCCTTCTATCACTGGTCGCTGCTGCCTCTCATACGACCGTCACCACGAGCAACGGCAGTATAAATAGTCAACAACCCCCGCCCGCCTCCCCCAACACCAAATATGCGCCTCTCGATCCAACCTGCTGCAAGTACACCAGATGAACCCTTCACAACATGGCGCGCCTTCCGGCTGGCCTCAGGCTATGAGCTTGGATGACGTGCATGACGCTGCATCCGCGCGCAAAGACTCGATGGCTACGTTTGGCGCTCCCTCTCCACAAACAACTGCGGCAAGTACTTTCATCTCAACTCCTCTTTCCCCTGAGCCCGAAATTCTCCACCAGCCGCAACATCGGTACAACCTGCCTGTACCACATTGGGCGAACAGGCAACGACCACCTACTCCGCCCCTTCACCACCTCGACGATGTGCGCCAACATGAGAAACGATTGCGAGGCCCTTCAGAGTATACATCGCCTTACAGCACATTTGCACCAGCATACATTCAGCCCTCAGTATCGAACATTCAGGGTTATCCGTCACAACAGACTGTCGCTCCACCCCCTCGATTTCATCCATCTGCCAATATTCTGCAACCGTCGCCTCTATTACTAGTACGTATCCCTTGCTATCATGCCAACATAGGGAAAATCTGAACAGGTCTGGAGCCTACATCGACGTTAGGGCACCTACCTTGCAGGTTTTCATGCTGATGTAGGCTGCAGACCTGTCCAGTTTTCCCTTGTATGAGGTTACTATTCGTGCTAACAGCTTGACAGAAAGCGCCCTCTATCCAGCATTGGCCAACTCACAACCTTAGCATGGTAGATGCACAGAGCAAGAAGAAGCAGGACGAGTACAAAAGAAAGGGCGAGGTAGCGAGGAGAAAGACAGTTTCCGCCCAAGCTTCAGCGCCGCAGTACGAACTGATCAAGGAGCCTACATCGATGCCTCGCAAACGCAAGGCTTCAATTATTGACGACTTGACAACTACAACTGCACCTCCTCCTCGCTTTAGACGTCTTCTTCCGGGTTCACCCAAACCAAAACATGGGCAGCAACAGAGCTTCACAAGCAGCCCCGTGGTAAACCACCACCCGACTCCTCATCTACCGCAACCGGGCCCCATGCACTACATCGATCTGCGGCAGTATCACCCACCACCGTATATTTCTCCCTACCCACAGTATCAAGAACCGGTTCATGCGCGACCCTTGGTTTACATGCCTCAACACCAACCGCATACGCCCGCAGCACCTCCACCACCGCCTCCCAAGATTGTCCACCCTGAGACTATACCCCAAGATATCACAAGCACCTACGACGAGTACAGGTGGCCGGTCGTTCTATATGAGCTTGAACCTGGACATGGCTTCGACTTTGCCGAGTCCTTTTTACAAAATCAGTTGGAGGAAGGAATCTACCACTCAGACAGCAACAGATGGGACGCGCATATTACAGCAGGCTTCATCAAGAATGGAAACAGAATGTCGCTTCTAGTTTTACACAACGCTGCGAACCCGTTCCAGTATGACCCACCGGCCACAACGACTACCAGCATCGGCGTATATGGAATGTTTGCTCATGAGCATAACGAGATCCATTGGACGACTGTTGCGCCATCTGTTCACAAATGGCTCCGCTTATCCATGGAAGCGGATCTTCTCACGGTCAAACAGAAGTGGTTTCCCGACATGAAGGCTTCTGACAAGCGGTTTCATCGCGCGTATTGGTTGGCTGCCAATAAACTGCCGCTCAACCGCATACTGAACCATAATGTGGCACCCGAGGAGCCGTACGGAGTGTTTGAAGATAACGAGAAGAATAACTTTGTGATTACGGAAGAGGACCTGCAGTACGGGTGGGATGGAGAGAGTGTATCGGTGGAGAAATCGGAGAAGATCTGGGAGAGTATTGTCGATGCGATGGAGGGAGTGGACCTGGCGGACGTCGAGCATGTGTCTATAGGAGGATCAGAGAGGGCGTTTACGGCGGACTGGTTTAGCAAGTGAGGGTGCACTCGCTACCCAAGTCTGCGATGCCATGAGCTCATATACGATGGAGAAGGAGGTTTTCAGGAAAGGAAGTGGCTGCCAGTGGGCCCGCATGTAGTATAGTCTCAGTTAGAGAAATGAATGACAATCAAAACCACCAGAACACTTTGGACATTCATCTGCTATCCACAAGCGCTAATGAGAAAGCTAGTCTACTTCCAACTCTATCAGGCCGAAGCCATGGCTCTCGGTAAAAATAGTCCACCGTCCCACTGCGTTATCAAGACAAGGGTCTCTCCAACATCCAAATCTAGCACTAATCATCGATCTCCTCGTCTTGAACACTCATCGTCTCTACGCTCTCGGCAAGGCTTAGGCCCGTTCCGCCCGCTCTCAAGGAAGGTTTCTTCCCTTTGCCCTTTGTTCTCTTCTTGCTTTTCGCAACGCTGGTCTCGCCCACTGGCGGTGCATCCCTGACCCAGCGTGAGATGGCTTCCGCTCGTTCAGTACTGATG